TACAAAAGAGGAAAGCTACGTATGCAGCCTCACCCTGGGACTGCTGACGTGTGTTTCTGCTTGCTGGGCCTTGTTAGGCCAGTTTTTTGGTGCTAATGAAGCATATTTGGTGTTTTCCTTATACATCGACTGTTCTATAAATTTACAGAAGCTTCAGTATATGAAATGGTTTGGGGTTTTTAAATAAACTTTATCTGACAACCTACTATAGTTATTGCAGATTTACCTACAATCTAATATTGACTCACCAGAATAAGCTAAATGTAAAGCTTTCTAACAATCTCATATACTGTGGCACAGTATAGTCACGGTACAGTGCAGACTACAACACAAAATTCACAGAGAAGTGACAAAAGTACGGATTTTTTCTGCTTGTGAGTGATAGATGTTCAAAGTACTAGGGACACAGTGTAGGAAATGACTATTTATAGCATCCATCTGGGTCGGAAACAGGTTAAACCAAATCTTGTGACCTAATAATACATCAGCAAGATTCATGGCTTAGGGACCATTTTATTGATAGCAAATGCCCCAAATTAAAGATTTAATCAAGGACTTGTCCATTTTAATGAAAAATGGGGATTGAAGGGACTTACAGTTTGTTATTTCCAGTATGACTCCCCAAAGAATACATACCGTGTTTGAGAACTTCACCCAAACCTACTTTAAAGCACTGTGTGCGAGCAAATTGTTATACCATTGTTTAGTGTGTGATTGTGGAGCCTGTCTGCTTGAGCTTAGAATGGAAAATAAACCTCTTGAGGAAAAAAGCCCGTACATATTGGAGGAGGACTATGTGTGCAAGCAGGATGATATCTGAAGAGGTAACTTGAAACTCCAAGAAAGTACTTGATGTTTGTATGTGTTAATAGCAAACTGATGCTTTAACTCGAGTTTTATAGAAAGTAGGAATGCTTTTATGCACTTTGGGAAGTTCGTATGCTACACAGAAATTGTTTTAAATGTGTGTCTGTTTCAGTTTATGTCAGCATGTATACACCATGCTAGGTTAGGTCACTTAGGTCTTCATTTGTGTGTAATGTTAATATGTAGCTTATATATATATATATTTGTCTTTTTCGTTTTTATCGGTACCGGGGATCGAACTCACGACTGCCTGCTTGCAAGGCAGGTGCTTATGCCGCTAAGCTAAATCCCCAGCCCCTTTTCATAAAATATTAATGGTTTACAATTTAAAAAAGAAAAATAGCCATCATGAATATGCAAAAAAAGAAAGTAAGAAAGAAAATGAAAAAATGCTGAAGAAAGTTCTTCAAACTGAAAGAAAACAGATATTAACTAACAAGAAGAAAACATCATGAGGAATAAAATTCATTGGTAAGAATCCTTACATTTTTTTTGTTTGCTTTGAGACAGGGTCTCACTATGTGGTCCAAGCTGGCCTCACACTCACAGTGATGCTCCTGCCTCAGCCTCCCAAGCACTGGAATTATGGATGTGCACCACAACTCCCAGCAAGAATCACTCTGAAGACAAATTCAGAATGGTATAATAGGGTAAGTATGGTGCATAATGCATTCATATATCTAATCTGAAAACAAAAAACTCAACTAAAAATAGTTGAATTGAGTTTTCACCCAAACCTACTTTAAAAGCATTATTTGCCATGAACAAGTGGGATTCTTCCTAGAAAACAAGGATTGCTTGAAATATGTGACTCAATATATATATGATACATTATATCAACACATGGAGGAGAAAAACCATGTGTTTACCTGAGAGATGCAGAAAAGGTGTCTGATATAATTCAAGATCCTCTCACAATTAAAATGCTGAACAAATGAGGTGCAGAAAGAGGATTTCTCCACGTGAGAAAGGCACATAGAAAATGCCGGCTGCTAATGTGAAACTTTGGGGTAAAAAGCCTGCAACAGAACAAAGATTCCCCTTTTACCACTTCTATGATCACTGTACCAAAAGTCCTGGCCAGAGCGATAAGGCAAAGAGAGAAACAGTGCAAGCAAACTAGCAAAGAAGTCAAGTTGTTACTGTTTGCAAATGACTTGCTCTTACAGAGAACCCCAAACACTGCTGCAAAAAACTTCTAGAACTAATAGACACATTCAGAGTACTGCAGGATGCAAAGATTCCATTTACCATAGATACCAAAGCAAAACAACAAAATAATAAAACCATAGGACTAAATTTAACCAAAAAGGAAGACCTTTGTAATGAAAACTATAAAACACCCGTGAAAGAAACTGAAGAGGACACACAGCCAAAAATGGAAAGTCATTCCTGCTCCTGGATTGGAAGCACCAATATTGTAAAGTGATCATATTACCTAAAGAAGTCTGTATCCATTATCAAAATACCAATGACATTTTTCACAGTTAAGAAAAATTTCTAAAATATACATGGAACCCCCAAACCATAACAATAGCAATGTAATAGCCCAAGTCATCTTGAGCAAAAAGAACACAGCAGGAGGCATTATACTCCCTGACTCCAAATATACAACAAAGAGTAATCAAAACAGCATACTACTGGCAGATGGCCACGGTCAAGTTTGTCACTTAATGCAGAGTGTGAAAACAAAAATAAAATTATGCCAAGTGATTCTGTTTGTGAACTGTTTGCAAAAGCGTTCCTAAACTGAGGTACTACTGTACCTATGTAAGCAAACCAATGTAACAGAAAAGTGCTAACTATGTGTATTGGAGAAAGGACATACTTTTCAATAAATGATGCTAGGGAAATTGGACATCCACATGCAGAAGAATGAAACTAGACCGCTATCTCTCACCAGTTACAAAATAAACTCCAAGTAGACTCAAGACTTAAATATGGTGGGGCTGGAGATTTAGCTCAGCAGCATAAGCGCCTGCCTTGTAAGCAGGCAGTCATGAGTTCGATCCCCAGTACCGATAAAAAGGAAAAAGACAAAAAAAAAAAAAAAAAAAGACGTAAATATGAAACTTTATCTTTTTGAGACAGCATCTTGCTGTGCAGCTCAGGCTGGCCTTGAGCTCACTTTGTAGCCCAGGCTGGTCTTGAACTCACAATGATCCTCCTGCCTCAGCCTCCTGAGTGCTGGGGTTACAGGTGTGTGCCACCACGCTAGGCTAATGTGAAATTTTAAACCATGAATTTACTAGAAGAAAACATAAATGTGTTAAGACATTAGAATGAGCAAAATTTTGCTTTGTTTTACAAACGTTCAAAAGCACAGGAAACACCTATAAAAACAGACAAGTGGGATTACCTCAAACTAAAAAGGCTCTGGTGTTTTTATAGGTCAGTATTAGAGCACTTGCTTAGCATGTGCGAGGCTCTGGGGTGGATCCCCAGCACTAGAAAAAAAATCAAGGCTGAAGAGATAAGGGGATGTAACTCAGTGCTTGCCTGATAATGAAGGAGGCCTCAAGTCCAATCTCCTGCACTGGAGAAAAAAAACAGAAGAGAGAGTCTACAGAACAGAGGGTACACTTCCTTCTGACAAGAGATGAATGCCCAGAATGTGTTCGGAACTGGAAAAAACTGAACTGTAAAATCAAAACTCAAACAGGCACCATCATAGCCATAACAGAGAATTATGATTTAACATGGGCAGTAAGCTAGGCACACTGGCTTGGGCCTTTAGTTTCAGTTATTTGAATGGCTGAGGTAGGAGAATGGCATGAGCCTAGAAATTTCAGTCCAGCTTGGGGAATATAATGGGACTTTACCTTTAAGTTAAAAACAAAACAAAACAAAAAAAAGCAGGGCCGGGGAATTTACCTCAGCGGCATAAGCACCTGCCTTGCAAGCATCCGGTCATGAGCTCGATCCCGGGTACCCCCTCCCCCAAAGCAATAGATCTATAGAGACAATTTTCCCAAGACATTCAAACAGCAAGCAGGTTTATGAAAAACTGCCCAACTTCATCAGAGCGTGAATCCAAACCAGGAGCTATTACCTCACTCTAACATGAAGAGCTATCATAAAAGGACACCAAAATCTGGCTAGTGTGTGGAGCAGAGGGAAACCTCTCACTATGAGAAGTAGTACAGCCATTATGGAAAACATAATTAAACATCTAAATATATACCCAGCCATTTCACTCCTAGGTACACTGTCTAAGGAACTGGAATCAATAACTCAAAGACAGCTGCACGTTCATGCTCCTGTAGCACTATTTCCAACAGCTAAGAGGCAGAAACACCAAAACACTCATTAGCTGTTGAATGAAAGATGAAAATGGTACATCTATACCAGGGAATACTATACAGCCATTAAAAGGATGAAATCCTGTCATTTGTGACAATATAGATCAATCTAGAAATCATTAAGTGAAATAAATCATTAAGTGAAATAAACAGAAAAATGCTGCATGATCTCACTAACAGGCAGCGTATTAAAAAAAAGTAGATCTCATTGAAGTTTAAATAGAATGGTGGTTTTCAGTGCCTGGGAAAAGAGTGGGGAAGGGATAGAAAATGGATAAATGGGTTTTATGCTATAATGAGACAGGAGTATGAAGTTCTGGTGTGCAATTGTATGGCAGGATAACTACAGGTAACAATGTATATAGCAAAAAGCTAGAAGAAATGATATATGGTTAGGTGAGTGTATTTAATGTAATTTAAACATTATGGATTGTATACTGTATCAAAATATCATGGAATTCTATAAAGATGCATAATTTTTATGTATCTGTTAAAAATAATAAAGTGGGTTTTTTGCTTTTCATTTTGAGACAGGGTGTCGCTATGTAGTATAGGCTAGCCTTAAAGTCACTGTGTAGTACAGTCGGGCTTTGATGGCTTTGTGGTGATCCTGCCTCTGCCTCACAAGCACTGGGATCACAGGCACAGTCCATTTTTTTAAACTGTGCAGCAACTACAAAGACACTATGTGGGCTACAGTTAGTCTCAAGGACAAGACACTAGTGCTAGGACAATTCCTTTGGATAGACTCTGTGAACAGGTGGAAAACCTCAGATACTGTACATCACCTTGGCTGGCTTGGGCTGTCATAACAAAATACCACAGACCAAGTGGCTTAAATAACAGAAGTTTATTTCTCACAGTTCCACTGGTTGGAAAGCCTTAGGTCAAGGTGCCAGCCGATTCAGTTCCTGATGCACTCTCTTGGCTTGCAGATGGTCATCTTTTCTTGAACTCTCGCATGGCTCTTCCTCTTTGATCTTGAGCAGAGATCCCTGCCCTGGGGATTGAATCCAGGGCCTCTGCACTGAGCTCCATCACCAGTCCCTTTTTATTTTTTGATGGGTTTTGTTAATTGATAATTGTCTAGGCTGGGCTCAGACTTATGACCTTCCTGCCTCAGCTTCCTTTTCCTCGTTTTCTAAGACCATTAATCTCATTATGAGGACCCCATCCTCAGGACCTAATCTAACCCTAACCACCACCTGCAGGCCCCATCTCCAAACACCACCACATTCAGGGCTAGGCTTCTACACATTAAGTTTAAAACTTTTACTTTTGTTAGCCCATGTTTGCAGCACAGAATGATTACTTCCGCTGTGTGGAACTGGTGTATGTAATAAAACGGCTTAATTCTGTGTTCATTCCTTCCCTTCCCCTCCTCACCACTTGGAAACACATGAATTTTGGGAGTACACAACTATTCTGTCCACAACACAGTAAACTGTCACTGAAGTGAGCAGAAGCAGAGTCCAAATGGCTGGGAAAAGGTGACGACACCTTAGGGCTGTGTTTCACCCAGTCCTAAACATGTATGGCACAGTTTGATAGTTTACAAACAAAACAGGTAGTGCAAAATATCATGGAAAATTTCCCTTTGAGGACTGGGGCTGGGGCTCTGATGAGATTACCTATAGCATGGGAAAAAGAAAAATGCTTCTTCTGCCCACACAAAAAGCTGTGGAGCAGTGGCGAGATGACAGGTGAACAGGCAGCACAGCACCATGAAGACCCACTACAACAACAGGAAAACAAGAGGTGTCAACCGTGTCCCACAAGAAAGGACAGGAAAACAAAGTACATGTGCTGTTGGTGTATATGTCCCATGTGAAGACCGCCTCGGGTCAGGTAACACAAGGCTATTTCTGTGGCAGACTTTTGTGTTTATGCTACATCAATTTATTTCTGATGTTATCTTTTGTAAGCAAGTACACAGCTGATGTGAAAATGCTGGTGCCCATTCGAAGTACTCATTATGCATGTTTTGTTTTCTTGCTGTCTTATTTCCTTGCTAAGTGCATGCTGTACTGTATAGTAGGAAGTCCCTGACAGAACAGGGAGAGGTGACGAGACTGCCACACAGTAAAGCTACACACATACCTGCTGGCAGTGTACACGGAGCACTTCATGTGTGAAGACTGCCTTGGCTGTGACAGCCGAAGCAAAGCTTATTTTTGTGGTAGAGTTCTATTGGTATTTTTTTTTTAAAGACAGTAAAATGCAACAAAATGAGACAGAACAAAGCCAATCAAAACACTGCAGCAAAATTGGTATGGAACTTCAAAGCAGCATACCAGGAAAACAATAGCTACCATAGTATATCTTGTTATCTTCACAATAGTTCTCCATTCCATCAGGTATAGCAAAATCAAACCAAAACACAATAGAACCAATCAAAACAGAATACTAAATAAAGCAAAAACAATCAGAACAAAGCAAAATAGTGAAAACATTTGACTTCAAAGACAAGATAGAAGGAAATCCCCCATATTTGCTGTATTGCATCTTGTCATCCTCCCACGAGATGCTCAGACCTCTGGCCCCAGGTCAGCATAATCAACCAACAGTACAAGCATTTAGTCACTTTATGCGCCTTAGATGCTGGTGGGGCGTGGCGGACCGGCAGGGGCGGGACATGGTGTTTGAGTCTCAGCCCATGCTGTTGCTAGCTGGCAGGCTCACGGGCAGCACTGAGTTTTGTCTCCCTGGAACCCAGCAGCTTGCATGACTTACCAGAAAGGCTGGCTAGGTGATTTCTTGGCTGGTCCCCCAAGTTCCAGCATGGCCGATTCTCAGGAGGCCCCGATCTATTGGTATTTTCATTGTAGTTAAATAGGAATTCATTTCTGATCTTATCTTTCAGGTTTTGTAAGCAAGTACACAGCTGATGTGAAAATGTTTATTCTAAACACACAATGTCTATTGACTGTTTTATTGGTATCTTATGTTCTTGTTAACTACACACTCTATAATAAATCTCCTAACAGCAAAACGCACTAAGATGTGAAGTGTGCCCAACAAAAAGGCCAGGAAAGCAGAACACATGTGCAGTATAAGCGATGGCTGTGTAAGATGCATGTGCTTGTCATGTGTGCAACCTGCCCTAGGTGAAATAATTATTTTTGTAAAGCGCTATTGGTATTTTCTTTTTTGTGTGTGTTTTTCCTTTTTTATCAGTGCTGGGGATCGAACTCACGACTGCCTGCCGGCATACTCAAGGCAGGTGCTTATGCCGCTGAGCTAAACCCCCAGCCCCCGTTATTGGTATTTTCAATGTAGTTCACATAAGAATTTGTTTTTAGACTTCGTGATTCACAATTAGTCAATGTTGAAAATTTTGATGTTTTTATAAACTCAATAAATATTAAAAATTCAATACTTATTGTTGATATATTTTCTGGCTAATTGTTTAATATAGTAAGCCATAAAATTGAAATTAATAATTTATCAATATTCTAAAGCACATGCTAAACCCACGTTTCTGTGCCTGATGACAGTCATCTTACATCCCGAGGACATCAGAATGCGCATGTCTGTGGCACAACTCACACACCTGTGGATGATCTTGACAGTGATATTAAAGCTGAGCCAAGCTTGATTAATGAGTGATTAATGACTGTTTTCTAACCAAACAGATACCGGGGTGCCTAACTTTATTCTTGTTCCCAGTAATACAAGGGGGCTCTGTAATAACTTAAAACACAAAGGGGAAAAGAGAAACAGAAAGGGTGGAAAGGCGAGTGGCAACTTTTTATTGAAAAGATGAGTAAATAAATAAAGCATGCAAGTCAAGTCATTTACCATTTTAGATATCTACACTGACCAGTACTTTTGATATCATGTTCTAGGCCATACATTACATTTTAGCAATTAAATCATTTAAACTAACTTTAACCAAGAAACATCACCAGCTGGGTGTAATGGTTCACGCCTGTAATCCCAGTACTCAGGAGGCTGAGGCAGGAGGATCCTTGTGAGTTTGAGACCAGCGTGGGCTACAAAGTGAGCTCAAGGCCAGCCTGAACTGTATAGAGACCCCCTGTCTAGAGTTGCAAAGTAGATTACTGCATGGATCAGAAACGCCCACAGCTGTCCAGGTACTGATGGTTAGGAAGGTGCAGCTGGGGCTGGATTAGCGTGAAAACCAAACCAACCTCCCCACCCCTCGCAAACCAAATGCTGGAGTCCTTACCTTCTGCGAGCACTCCTAGGCACGTGAGCTTATTCATTTAATCTTCTCAAAACTGTGTGTAGGGTAGAAGATTTAGATTCCCTGTTTCACAAACAGGAGCTAAGCGATGATGTGCCTTGCCACAAGGACTCACAACTAATACATCACATAGCCCGACCCAAACGCAGGCGCTTGGGCTTAAGGTTAAGATGCTCTACAAACCCATGACTTGTGCAAGTGGCAAGGTTTGGCACATGAGCGCCAGCAGGTCACATTTATCCATGTCTTCTCCCTAAGTTACTTTTGCTCCAAGTAACTGCCATGATTCCTGGAACTTTTTTCTGCCCAGATCGAATCCCAGAGCAGGTACAGTCCACTGCCCCACACCCCTCCCTTCCCCCTCCATGTCCCTCCTCAGTGCCCAGACAAGATTAATCAAAATTAAATCTTAGCTATCACATTGAGGAAATCTTTTGTGAAATTCATGTCTTGCCCTTCCCAGGTTGACACTGGAACTCAAACGAAGGCTAAAGGATCTTTTCAGATTGTGCTAAACTTGCAAATTTGCTGAGGGGTTGGGGAGCGCGTAGAGCCGTCTGCAGTCATTCCCGGTTCTTTCCAGGTGTGCCGGGCCACCTGGATTGCATAATTCCCCTGCCCCCCCATATTTTCACTTTTAAAAACTAGTTGTGAAAAAAAAAGTTGTGGGCGAGTAGTTGCAGAAAGGACTGCAAAGAATTCCTGTATCCTGAACAAATCCTGCTAACTGAAAGCCATTTTTTCTCAGTTCAGAGAAATGATTTTGTTATTGACCCCAAAAGCATGAGGTAGAATTTGGGATAATCTGCCCTTGACAGGCAGATGGTGCATTCCTGGAATCCCAGCTGCTGAGCTCAAGGCAGGAGGACTGTGCGTTTGGGGCTGGCCTAGGCAATGTAGCCATACCTTAATTTAGAGCAATCAAACAAACAGGGTCAGGGATGTTAGCCCACAGCCCCGACTTCAATTCCTAGTAAGGGAGAAGGGGGGAAAAAAAGCTGCAAATTTGGTAACACTCCATCCGCAGTGCTGCAGAGAGAAAGACTGGGTACACAGAAAGCAAATTAAAAATATACATATGCCCTTTTGCAGAGTACTTCCACCCGCAGGAAGTGAAGTGAGATACACTTACATAACCAAGAAAAGATGTACATTCAAGATGTTCATTCAGGCACTAATGAGATTAGGAGATTAGAAGCCTGGTGTCCCTCAGCTGGGTAATGACTAATAGACTTCAGGGGTAGGAAAAGTCATCTTTTAGGCATTTATATGACAACTCCATATATCTTAGTTGTAACATACAGAAGGGGAGATAAGAATCCTCTCTTTTGTATAATAAAGGGGAAATATGAATATTCCTACTAAGAATTTTTAAAAAACTCTAGAAAAGTAAACAAAAATAGTTGGAGGTGGGAACTGCACGGATAGAAGAGTCATAATTTTTGAAAGCGCTTTTTTGCTTTTTGTGCTATATCATCAGTTCTCTTTATTTAAAAACTTTTGAGGCAAGGTCTTGCTGAGTTGCCCAGGTTAGCCTTGGACTTGCAATCCTCTTGCCTCAGGCTCCCACATAGCTCTGACTACAGACATGCAACACTGTATCCTGAACAAAACAGTTTTGACCGGGCTCAACATCTCAGTCATCTTTAAATCATCTCAGTCGTCTTTAAATCCCTTCCCCTTCCCGGTCAAGCTGAATCAGACATCAGTAAACACTGTGCGGTGTTTCAATAGCTTGCCAAGGCTTGAAACAAAAGAATGCTCGCTTTATCTGGGCCCAGGTCACTGCTTAGTGGCCAGAGCCTAAAGCCAGGGAAGTTGTCCTCCACTGGCGAGTGCTGCGCTTTCCACCTGGCCAGCTGCCTCGGGTTCTGCAATGTCTTTTGCATCTGTTTCTCCTCTATTTTCTTCACCTCTGCCACCTGCAAAATGCAGGTGCCTTATTTCTTGCATTTGTAATCCATTCACCAGGAAACTGGCTCAGTCAGGGGATACATAGTTGCTAATGTGGATCAGGCTGGAGAGGGGAGGTAGTTTTTCATACTTATTAAAAAAAAAGTTCTGCAAACAGGTTAAATCATGACATACTTTCGGAAAACCAACCCCTTCCCCACAATCTACAGGTCAATAAACGAAACTTCCCTCCGTTCAGAAACTAGAACACTGCCAGTATCCCAGGGGTACCTCTTTATTCCCTGTGAAGCAGGACCCTCCAAGTTCTTTACAAGTTTACTACCTCAGCCTATACTCCTAAATCGTTTGCTTTTGCCCCATTTTTTTAACTTTGAATTTTCCAAAGTGGTCCCCATTTGCAGCTGCTGAAACTGTTGGCCAACATTGGGTATTTTCTGGTTTTTCCATTTTAACCACAGTTGGGGGAGCGACAGTGTCTAACTGGGGTTTTAATGTGCGCTTCCTTAGTAACTAAAAAAGCTAAGCACCCTGCGTTTTTATTGGTGATGCAGACGCCTCCTTGTGTGATGTGATTATGAAAGCCTCTTACCCATCTTTCTATTGGGTTTTTACTAATCTGTGGAGTCCCTATAAAACATTTAGGTAGGAAAGAGACCTTTTTCTGTTGTAGAAGTGAATGGATTTGCCTGGTGCTGTTGGAATACCATGAACTCCCCCTTATTCTGGCCCCAAATTTACTAATGACCCATTGGGGGGGAAAATGCAGTTAACTTCATGCGTCCTTGTGCTGTCTGGGCTGGGAAAACTGCTAGATGTTGAACATGTAATGGGCACTCTGTCTCCCAGTGAGAGCTGCATTAGAATCCCACCTCCGAGATGGGAGAGCTTAGTGACTGTAAGCAACTCAGGTAATCTATATCAGCCTGTTTCCTCGTGAGGAAAACGGAGCCAGTAACATCTGTGGTATAGAAGTGTGAGCATGAAATGAGACACTCTGTGTAACAGGCGGTGCCCAGTGATTGGCACGTGGAGGTAATCAGCAAGTGGTAGCTGTAACAAAAAATAAGATGTCCATCCCTCTTAGAGCTGTGACATTCCCACCAGGAAGTAAAAACTAAGATGCCTGGGAGTTTGGTCCTTCTGAGTTCCTTCATCCTAACAACTCTAAAACAGTTGTAAAAGAGGATGCTTTGATAAGTGTTCCTGCAGAAGGGAATTAAAAAGGGAAAGATAAATACCCAAGCCCCAAATGTGCCCTGGATCCCCCAAGAATAAACACAGTCTGTTGGATCACTGGTTGTCTCTAAATTCTCCCTCTCACCTGTGAGTGTGCCATGGTCTGGTGACCAAGTGTCTGCAGACAGGTAGTGGCCCAGGGACATTTCTGGGCCCCGGCCCTGGAGCCTGGAGCGTCACCACCAATTCTGAGCCCCCTGGGCCAAAGTCAAAGCCAGCGAGGGGTGGCTCTTGGTCCTGGGTGACCAAGAGGCCACCTATTGGCCTTTCCAGCCTTAAGCCCCTTCTTCCAGCCCAACTACTGCTCACCTTGCCTCTAACCCTAACCCTAATCTTACTCCCCTAGCTCGGCTGGTATCCAGGGCTTCCGAACAACTTTGAAGTCAGATTTTCTACTATTTTGTTCTATGAAGACTTCACTGCAGCAACTAGCTCCACCTGAAATATGGCTAATTTAGAAAGTACATTTTTATTTTTCAATTTAAAATTAAAATACTGTCATGATTCAACCACCACAAAACTTTTCTTTTCTGCAATGCTGGAGATTGAACTCAGGATCTCATACAAGCTAAACACCCTACCACTGAGCTCCATTTGCAATCTTTTTAAAAAAAATTTGACACAGGCCCCAACTGGCAAATCCTCCTGCCTCAGCCTCCTGGGCAGCTGAGATTATAGGCACACACCATGGCGCCTAGCTTGCCAAACTTTTAAGTACATTTAAACCAGTTTTCAACTGCAAATTTTATCAAGTATCGAGATAAGCTTTTAGTGGAAAACACACACCAGATTTCAAGCCTTAGGTAATGAGAAAAAGAATGTAGGACATTTAAAAATGGTGAGTAATTTTTTATACTGATCACCTGTGAAGTAGTGTTGGGCTGTATTAAAATTTTACCCTTAGGGACTGGGGATTTAGCTCAGCGGCATAAGCACCTGCCTTGCAAGCAGGCGGTCGTGAGTTCAATCCCTAGTACAGATAAAAAGTTTAAAAAAAATAAAAATAAAATTTCAACCTTTTACTTTTCACCGACGGCCCCTATAAAGCTGTGAGTGTAGCTTGTTATCCAGCCCACTACTGGCTCCTCTGTCCAAGCCTCCCCTCGTTTTTCTCTCTCCTGTCAATCTCCCCGTCTGTGCTGCTCCACTTCTAACTCTATGGCTTCATCTTATCAAGGCCGCAGACCTCATCTCCTACCATCCCTTACTTCTTCTCTTTTTGAGGCACTGGCAGCACATCCAGGGCCTCTGCACTGGGCTGCATCCCGCCCATTTTTATTTTTAAATTTTGAGCCAGGGTCTTGCTACATTGCTAAGGCTTGAAGGCTCAAACTCACCTCCTGCCTGAGCATTGGGATTGCAGCCAGCTCCATCCTTTCCTTTGTTCTGTAAACCTCAGCCTTACTGGCCTCCTCCCTGTTCCCTAAAGCAACAAATGTATCACCCCCAGGCCTTTGCCCTGCTGGCCCCTGTGGTTCCATACACTGCACTAACACCTTACCAGCCCCAGCTGGAAGAGCAGCTCTGGAAGCCACCTCTCCTCTCTCACCAGTCCTGCAAGTCTGTTTTGCCCGGAAAGTGCATTATGCAGTCACTCCTGTCTTCTCTAGGCACTTACTCTCTTTTTGGCCCTCACTGGCAGCAGGAACAGGAAGCCCATCTGTCTTGCTGCGGCTACAGCTACTCCAGTGCTGGGAACAGGCTGGGTGCTCTTCCTTCAACAGTTGGCCGCGAGACTACCTGGCTGCAGGTAGGCTCCCAGGTAGTTTGAGTTCTGTGGTCAGAATGGAGCCTCTATCCTTCCTGAAGGACGCCTCTGCCTTGCTTCCAGCTGCAGCTGACATCCTTGTCCTCGCTCTGCTGACACCTGGGCACCACGCTTCATCCATATCTCCAAGCTCCAGTAACTGCGCTCCTCTCTTCAGCCCTCTTTGCCAATACCTCGGTTCACCCATCCTCCTCTCAGCGATTCTTCTTCTCCCAGCTCCTGTTCTTGCCTTGGAGTTTTGCGTAAGTCAGGGATCAAAAAATGCAACTTCGGTCACACGCTGACTTCAAAATGATTCATCAGTCGTTTCGTCCTTCTGCACAGGGCATTGGAGCCGGTGAGGACTGGAGCCCACAGGAGCCCCTGCTGCAGGCACCCTGGACAGCACAGCTTTCCTCTCCTACCCTGCACCGCGGTAGTCTCCCATCCCGCTCCCCAGCCAACGCTGCTGGTTTCTCCAGAGTCTTCTAGCTCTCCCTCCTCATGCTCCTGGTGATGCCTACTGTTTACAATTTACAGCAAAGATCAAAGAGGGCAGGCCAGGACTCCCTTTGGGGCAATCACCAGCTGAGTGTTTACTCACACTCAATGTTCAAAGTAGGACATTAACAGACAGACAGCTTTTTTAAAAAATCATCAACGGAAACAATGAAAATATCGAATCAAAAGAAAGCACACACCGCGGGCTCCTGTACCACTGACTCTGGTTCTATTTTAGGCACAATCCTTTAAAAAGTTACAGGAGGACCGCAAATCTTCACTGCATCAATATCAGCCAGGCCAAGGTGGGGACAGACATTACTTATCTGAGGCCTCCCAAAGTAGAGCAGTGTGCAATACAGATTCGTTTATCCTTGCGGGCTCCTCTGGAATCTGCTCTTGGCATGGTCGCAAAGACTCCCAACTCCTAGACACAGAATGCCAGAAATTCCACCGTTAGGAGGTCAGGAGGCTCCTCTGTTACAACCTAGCAGCATGCAGTTACTCTGCAAAGCACGGTTAAGCGGGTTTTCCTTTGAGATACATTTCCAAATCAACTCTAGGTACTTTTAAAAGACAACACAACAAAACCCTTGACAATCCAGGTAGGGAAGGAAACAGAAAACACCTCTGATGTAACAGTAAATCCAGGGAATTCCTGACACTGTAACAATGTTTTAAAAAGAAAAAGCTGAACTGGATACCGGGCTGCAGGTCTGGAATCCCAGCACGCTGGGAGGCTGAGCAAAAGAATCAGGAAAGTTCAAACCGTGCCTGGGAAACTCCGCGAGTCCCTAAAATAAAGAGCTAGGGACGGGGATCTGTGTGAAGGCCTCGGATTCAATCCCCACTACTACCACCACCTCCCCGCCACAAAAAAAAAAAAAAAAAAAAAAAAAAAAAGCTGAAGCAGCGCATCCGTCGTCCCGTTCAGCTCACCGGGCCACGCTGAGAGCCTCGCATCCCAGGCCAACTCGGGGCCCGCGAGGGAGCTCAGCGACGCACCCCCGAGCAGCGCGCGGGCCCCGGGCTCCGACGCCCGCCCCGCACAGCACAGCCCAGCCCAGCGCCGCCGCCCACCCGCGCAGGAAGGGGCGGCCGCGCTCCCGCGCACGTGGCTCGCGGGGCGCCCTGCTCGCTCTACGCAGGCGCGGCCCGCCGGGACTCGCGGTCAGGACGCGGATCCCTCCGCCGCCTCCTTTGTGTGGCGGAACGGCACAAATGGCCTATTTTTCTTCCCCCCGTTAACCCGCTTGCCCAGCCCCGCTCGCCCCGGGCTCCCCCCGGAACAGGGCTGGAGCGCGGGTGGACGCGGAAGCCGCCCCTGAGCCCCGGGCCGCCGGCCCTCGCGCGGGCGTGCGCGGCCGGGCCGCAGGGCTGTGGCGCCATGTGTCCCTCCGCGCGCGGCCCGGCGGAGTCCTCGGCGCGGGTCGCGGGCGCCGGCCCGACGCGGCACTTTCGGAAAAGCGCGCCCCGTGCCGCCCTCGCGCGCTGAGTGTAGCGGGCCGCGTCAGCCCGGCCGGCCTCGAGGCGCCTCGCGTCCGCGCCCCCGCCCGCCGCCACCGCCCCGTCGCCGCTCCCGAAGCTTTTCCAGGTCAGTGCGGGTCTGTGTGGGGCCCGGTTACCACCGGATGTGGAAGTTGATCTCTTCGCTGGTAAAAAATAATTCCACTTCCCCCGGAACCCAGATCATCCCCGCGATTTCCTGTTTATTGCATTAAGGCGCCGGGTTTCCGGGGCTCCCGGGCCCGCGGATTCCGCGGGGGTCGGCGGGGGCGGCCCGGCTCCCGCCTCCCCCCCAGGCCGCCGCCGCCGCCGCCACGCTTTGTCCCCGGCCCCGCGCGGGACATGGAGGCCTCAGACATGGAGGCGGCCGCGCCCGGCTTCGGGCTGGGCCGGGCCGGGCCGGGGTTGGGGAGGTGGCGGAGGCGCCCAGCCTGGAGCCATGGCCATTGTCTGGCGTCCGGGCGCAGGATGGCCTGTGGTCGGCAGGCGCGCAGCCTCCCCGCGCGGCCGTGGCGAGAGCCGGGTCGGCCAGAGACCTCGTCCGGGACCCGGGGCGCGCGGAGCGGGGACGCCGCCATGCGATCGGTGTGCGTCGCGGCCCCCGCGGCCGCGGACCCGCCCGCTTTCGGGCTGACCGTGGAGTCCAGAGGCCGTAGGGACGCGGCCCCTCTGCGCGCCCACCCCAGCGGCCTGCGCCGTGCTCGCCGCTGCGCTCTGCCCGCGGAGCTGTGTGCGGGGTCGGGGCCGGGACCACGGGCCTTCCGGAGGGGGCCGCGCGGGATGCAGTGAATTTTTAAGTTTTGTCCCTGGACTCTGGTTTGCTGTCTCAAGTCAGGCAAGTTATTTTCTGAAAAGTTTTTGTAAAATTGTGTTTTATTTTGGGAGAAAAAGATTTGGTGGACTTTATCAGTGATCCTTACAAAGCAGTTTTGACATCGCCGAAAATGCATGCACCCCTAGTTACTCTGTTGAAGTTAGTGGTGAGAAATTCTCATCTGCACGTAGTTTATCTCACATTAGGGTTCACGGGTTTGGTTTAGTTTTTTTTTTCCCTTTTCTTTTCTGTGGCACCATGTATGAGGCACATTCCTGTTTAGTCCAGGCTGGCCTTGAATTCGTAATCCTCCTGCCTCAGCCTGCTGAGCCCTGGGATTATAGGCGTGGCCGTCATTCCAGTTTTGGTTTAAGTTTCTTGTTGTTGGGCTTATTTATTGATTGATTGATTGATTTTGAAGACGGGGTCCCAAAACAGACTGGCACTGAAACCATTATGGAACCCAGGCTGGACCCTTAACTCTAGATCCTCCTGCCTCAGCCTCCCCATTGCTGACATTACAGGCAAACTCCATCTTGCTCCTAAGTTTAAGCTTCTTACAGATTTTGACATTTCCATTTTGAGGCACAGACTTTGAATTGAAGGAATCTAAAAACCCCTTTCTCTTTTCCAAGTATTTTTTTTTTTCAAAAACAAAAAGTCAAGCACATGTGAATACAAATGATACACAAGAATGACATCTTTATTTCTGCAAATCTTTTGAATGCCTGATTTAATAGAAGACGGCCAGATTCTTAAATCTACTTTTGCATTGGTGTCTTGTGATATCATATCATGCAACCCCTGGAGAACTCCACGGGTACCCTTATGCTTTTTTTTTTTTTTTTTTAAATGCACAACTATGTCACCTGCTTTCACCATGTAGGTCAAGTCGGGGTATTACGCAAGACTTTAAAAGTACAGATAAGAATGAGTACTATACATTTTCCTTGGGCACTGAACTTTTTTTAAAAAAAAAGAAATTTGGGATTTAGGGCAGGTGTGGTGGTACATGCCTGTAATTCCAGCCCTCTTGGGGACCTTAGGCAGTAGATCACAAGTTCCTGCCCAGCCTGGGCAGTTTAGCAACTTGATGAGAAATTGTCGCAGAAATTTTTTTTGCAAAAGGGCCGTCGGGGTCGGTGGGGAGGGGTTGCTCAGTGTGAAGGTCCTTTATTCAGGTCCTAGTACTGGAAAAAAAAAATTGAGATTTAGGTGCATAAACAGTACCTTACGTAGATAAAGATTACATAATCTGTGATTGTGGAGACTCAAGAATGTTTAGAAATAGTCTGATTGCACATAATTTTAGTTTTAGCATGTGTCTTTAATATATAAAAAACATGAATTTGTGTTAGGTGTGCTTGTGGAAATTTGTGTAAATGTAATCAAAGCACTGTGAGAACTCTAGAGAAATCCTGGAATGAAACCTTCAGTAAGACAATAGCCGCCCCCCCCCCCCCATAGAGGGGTATGTCTGAAAGAATCCCGGGATTCCTGGGTGGGCAGCAATTACACAGTAGTGTGTAAACTTTAAAGATCATGCTTCGATTTAATAGCTTTGAAAGGAGGCCAAATGTTTCCAGTTGTTTCTGTGAACTCTGGTCTGACTCTGTCAGTCTGTAGTTCTCTCTTGTTCCATCAACAGGAAGCATCTGGTCATTCTTTATGTAATTGTTAGAAAATGCCAGGTGTATTTTTAATGTTTGCTGTGTGTATGAAAATAGACTGGATCTTGGTTAATTCTCTGGATTTTAGTTTGTGCAGCCTCTCCCCTCCTCAGGGTTGTTTTTTTTTTTTTTTTTTTTTTTTTTTTTTTTTTTTTTTGGTACTGGGAAGCAACTCAGGACCTTGGCGCTTTGCTTGCCAGGCAGGTGCTGTGCTGCTGAGCTGTATCCCCAGCCCCTGTGTTTTAATAGATGAAGCAAACATGTCATTAGAAATTTCAAAAAGTTTTTTTCCTTTTTGTTTTTCTTGTGGTACTGTGGATTGAACCCAGAGCTTTTACGCTGAGCTACTTCCCTAGCCAGCCCTTTAGTTTTGAGACAGTGGTTTTACTAAGTTGCCTCAGCTTGCCTCAAACTTGGGCTCCTGCTGTCTCAGCTGCCTGTGTAACTGGGATTATGGCCATGTGACCCAAGCCTCAGCTGCTTCATGGTATTTTGTGGGGTTTTTTCTTTTTTGGAGGAAGGGTCACACTATGTAGTTAGGCGGGCCTCATGCCTCAGCCTTCTGAGTGCTGGGACTGCAGATGCATGCCACCACGCTTGGCTGCTGCTTAATATTTTGAATAATAAGTTCATTTCTGCCAGTGCTTGAGACCCTTGTCTAGTTCCCCTTTGCAAGTTCCCTTTGCTGCAAGCATGCAGATGAACTCACTGACTGATGACTTTCATCTCTTCTCTCTTCCTTGGCTAACATTGAAAAAGAAATAAGATGCTGGACCTTCTGATAACTTGGTTTCCTTTTGCTTTTCTTTTTTGTGGTACTGGGGTTAGAAGCAGGACCTCATACACGGTCAGTGTCAGGAAGCAGGCCATGAGCTGCAGCCCTTTTTTAAGTTTTATTTCCAGACAGGATCTGGCAGACTTGCCCAGGCTGGCTTTGAACTGGCAGTCCTCCTTCCTGGGCAGCTTCTTGAGTAGTGAGGGTAACAACAGGCTTGTGGAGTGTGCCTGGCTGGTTTTCTTTTTCTTTTTAAGTTGACAGATAGTTGGGCATATTTTTCTGGTCCTGTGTGGTAATTTTATGCATGTATCAATGTGAAATGATTAAATTAAGGTAATTAGCATTTCCATCTCAAACATCATTTATTTTGGAGACCTTTGAACTCATGCTTCATAACATATGTAATAAACTATAAACCATAGTTATCTTATTGAGGACAGCTTACTATTCCTTTGGCCTTGGCTTTCTAGCAGATAATCAGTTATGTTTCTATAGCATGAGTATGTCTTGTTAGCATTATACTGTTACATGACTTTTTTGGGGGGATGGGATAGCTTCCCCAGCTAAAAGATATTTCTAGTGCCATTTTGAAATTAGTGTCAGAGCCTCAGTGTTAACTGATTAACCTCAGTGTTAACACCACAGTGCTCTGGTGGTCAGCTGTCAGTTCAGGCTGCTGGGTAGTTACCTTTGTTTGTAGTGACCACTTCTGTGACATGAGTATGGAGATGGTGACCTAGGCTGGAGGTGATTATGCAGGGCTGTTGATCAATTCAGATGTAGAAATCTATTGGCCCTGGTCCTCTTACCTTTTAATAGGAAGATTGTACATTAGGCTACGATGTGCATCCAGGGGACCTTGGCTTTGGGAGAAACAGAAACCAGGCTATGTTGAAATGGAATGTTTGGCCTAAAGAAGAGAAGCTCCTGTAAGAAGTGACAGCAGCTTGACATATTTGGGAGTCTGTCGGACAGGTCGGATCTGACCAGAAAGAGAATCAACTGGTAGAAGTTGGAGGCAGAGTTCTACAATGTTCCAAGAGAAGTTTCCTTTAAATTGCAAAAGCAAAATAGATGGTTTTGGTGGTAGGCTTTTTCTGTTCCCTAACAGTGTCCAGGTTGGGGGTTCTAGGGTAGAGGCCCTGATATGTTGGAGGGTTTGAGCCAGGTGTCCTTGGGTTTCCCACAAACAGCCATTATGCACAGCATCCAGATTTGTAGGTGTTGATAGGAAAAACAAAACTAATTTAAACAGTTGAGCTCATTTGGATCATCACTTTCATTGTCTTAGATAGAGAACTGTTTTGTTTT